TACATACTCGCCGATACCCTTCACACGTGCACATTGGTGGAAATAGCCAGCAGTGATAGCTTTCCTACGAAAAGGTCAATGAGACATAATTGATGCAGTTGTTGTACAGTACCTGACGATATCAAAGTCTGTGCCAGCAGAAATAATCTCCATCTTCTGGAACTTCATTATATCCTCTAACTGAGCCCTAACCTCACGAGCTTTGCGAAGCAGTTTCGGATGCAGAAAATGACGCGTAGCCCATTCATCACGGAATCTGCGAGTTAGAATGAGCACCCTGCAGCATTAATAAGATGAACGAACTGACCCATGACTCTTCCACTGGTTGAAAACATTCAACAGAGTCAGGTGGTCACTCTCTGGTACGTTGAACTTTTCACGTGCGGCATCGGCCTCTTCCATCCTCTCTTTTGGTCTGTAGAAGATGCTTGGTACTGAAAGCATGGACACTATAGTCAACATCTCTGCTGAACATCTCATATCCACGGACGCAATAAGCATCTTGGCCATGGAGGGCTCCATGGGAAACTCGGACATTTTCCTACCCACAGGCGTCAAATCCCCAAGATTATCCAGCGCACCCAAAACCCAAAGTTGGTACATTGAATTTATGATGTTGGCTTGGGGAGGAGGGTCCATAAAGTCGAATTCAAGCAGGTTCTTGACGCCAAGAGACTTGAGGAGCAGAACAGTATTGGCGAGATTAGTGCGCTGAATTTCTGGGATGGTATTCGGGAACATCTCGTTGCGAAACGCCATTTCTGTATACAGGCGGTAACAGAACCTGCAGAAAATTGAGGGAATTAATGCGATACAACTAAAATGAATACACACCCGCTGCCTGTACGGCCGGCACGCCCAGTCCGCTGGTTGGCGTTGGCTTGGCTGACCGGTGTGATTTGCAGAGCATCCATTCCGACCTTTGGATTATACACCTTAAGCTTGGAGTAGCCCGCGTCGACCACATATATAATTCCATCGACCGTCAAGGAAGTCTCGGCAATGTTGGTAGCTACGATGACCTTCCTTCGTCCATCAGGAGTGGCTTCGAAAATCTTAGCCTGCAGGTCGGCAGGCATCTGTGAATAGATTGGGAGCACTGCCAGAGGGGCTGGCTGATCAAGCTGTGCCAGTCGCTCTAAACAAAAGATTTAGAGCATGGCGTCGTTAACATTTAAGACTTGCATACCGTTAATGACCTGACATGTGATTTCGATGTCTTCTTGTCCAGTCATAAATACGAGGATATCGCCAGGGGGAAGCGAAAGATGGATTTGGAGAACCTGTTTCACAGCACTGTCTACGTAGTCCTCGCAAGGTGATTTTGAATGAAACATCTCCACCGGAAATGTACGCCCAGGAATGGTATAACAAGGGGCATTTCCATAGAACGCAGAAAACTGGAATCACGTCAGTCTCTCATTGCCAGAACAGTTATAGAGAATCTTTGCCTTGTCAGCATTCATGGTTGCCGATGTGACGATGAGTCTTAGATCTCTTCTCCGAGACAGAACTGGAACAAATGATGAGCCCAAGGTTGTTTAGCCGGGTAATGATAAGGCGTACTCTTACGAAGCAAACCCATGAGAACATCAGTGCTTAGTGAACGTTCATGTGCCTCATCCAGGATGATCACACTGTAACGGTCCAAATCACCTTCATTCAAAGATTCTCGCTGGAGAACACCGTCTGTCATGTCTAGAAAACAAGATAAGTCAAGCTAAAGATGAAGGGAATGACACTGTACATTTGATCTTGGTTTCTGCTGATGTACAATCCTCGAAACGAATCGCATAACCAACGGTAGAACCAAGCTTGCACTGAATAAAGGGTTAGCACAAGAATCAAGAAGATTCAATTGATACTTGCCTCCATCTCCTCAGCAACACGCTTTGCTACAGACATAGCGGCCACACGACGCGGCTGAGTACAACCAATGAGACCGTATGCGCAGTACCCATCCTCATAAAGGAACTGCGCTAGCTGAGTAGTTTTCCCAGAACCAGTCTCTCCCACGACGATGACAACTGTAGAACATGAATGTTAGAAGTGTAACACAGCTGCATAGCATAAATCTAACCCTGGTTTTCTCGGATCACCTTGAGAAGCTCATCTCGACATGCAAATGCAGGTAAATACTCTCTCTGCTCCTTCAGTGTCCTGTTCTTTGCAAAGGAACTGACCCCAGTGGAAGCCTTCAAGTGGCTAGCGAACTTAGAATCCCCCTTATAATCCTCTTTCTCACCAGATTTCGCCTTTGCTTCTGCCAGAGCTGTACGAAACATTCCAAATGGACTACGTGAATGTCCAACTCGAGCTGCGCCACAAGGGCAGAGAATAACCACGCACCTTCAGCTTCGGCTTCCTCATCCTTCACGCCCATGATGTTACCGAGTTGTGTGCCACCAAGAGATGCAAGTTTGGCGGCTGCCTTTGCCCTCTCCGCCTGTTCTCGCTTCTCTTTCACCAAAGCGCTCCCCTTCTTTGAAAAGATCGCCATGTCACTCGTAGGGTCGCGGATTGGATTGATGGGCTCGAGCTGCTTCGTGAAGATCGTCTTGCCATCCAAGAAAGGTGGCTTGATATCATGCACCATGACATGCACCGTCGACTCAGACTCGTCTTCGAAGTCAAGATCAACTTCCTTACGGGTCGCAACACCGGAAGTCAGCATCCGATTAGCTTCCCAGAGGTCATTGTCTGCATTCTACAGAGAAAGTCAAAACGAAAAGAAAAGATAGAATGTATATCAAGTCCCACATATTGCGCTTGCCTGGTCGATATTCTCCTCTACAAAAAACTTCAGCAACATTGAGCAACTTGCAGATGCGAACCAAATACCACTTGTTTTTTCGAAATCTCTGCGTCCTTCAATGCGGCGAGATCCTCGTATTGTGCCAAAGGGTTGTGCTCTTCGTCTCCAGCAACACCACCTTCTTCTGCTCCAGTATACCAGTCACGGTCCAGCCGCAGCTGCTCCTCCTCCCATTCCCTTACATCGACACCAAGGAGTCCATCATCTTCCGGGCTTCCGCCTCTCGGAATGCGCGGTGTTGGCGCATCCCAAGCACGATTCCTTGCCCCTCCCCAGCCCGATCCTTCGCCCTCTTGTCGTCTGGGCGTTGAATCCCACCCAACATTGGGCACACGGACACTAGGCGCATCGCGGTTGCTACTACCACGCTCTGACTGGGGTGTAGAATCCCAGCCGCGTCCATTTTGCCGATCCCTATCGTGGCCTCGTCGAACCCATCCCCTATCATTATCCCGATTTGATCGTCGTTGGAAATCTCCGAGTCCTTGAGAAGTGTGAGACCGTTGCTCCTGCACGGCAGTGATTCCTTCTAAAGGTCACTTTGTAGTCAGAAACGACACGCCACAGCGGGATATATTAGTCGTACCTTTCTGCTTTTCGCGGTTTCGTCGGTACTCCTCCAAGCGGGCCCTTGCGGGATCCGACAGACCGCCTGGATGAGATGGTGTCTCTTCTCCTCGCTGCCTTAGACTATTTCCTCGTCCGGTTGGCAAACTGGGGACTAGATGCAAGGTAAGATAATATTACGGAACTGCAACCTTGTCGCACCTTTGAAAAAAGTGTCATCATTCAGCCTCGGCTTTTTTCGAGGGCCATTCTCGGATAGGGCCTGTTCTCTCTTTTCTTTCGCTAGTCGATCAAGGCCGAGCAGAGAGCCGCGAGGAGTTGGTGGTTCAATTGGTTTTGCAGGCTGACGGAAAGTGTGTCTCTGTAGATTATGAGCAATTGTATAGAACAATGAGCGGTGATAAACGTACGGTATCGTCCCTCACGAGGCCGCCTTGCCGTATTGGATCAGGCTCGAGCACCTCGCTGTCATGGACAGTTATACCTTCGACAGGACGAGGAGCAAGCCCAGAAGCCTCCTGCTTGACATGTGACAAGATTTCGTCATGCAGCTCGGTCAAAAAGGAATCTTGAAACTTGCCAAACGCCCGAGCCGCTGCAACAAAGCGTTAGTGAGCGTGCCTGGACTCCAGTGCAGAGAAACTCACCTTTGGCAAAGCCTTCAGCGGAATTGCTTTTAGCTATGTCAATAACACGCTCTGCGAGCAAGTCGTTTGGGTTTACGAGGTTCAATGCTCGTGAAAGTTGAATGGCAACCTGGTGCTTGAACCCATCGTCTGTATTCGAAGACATAAACCGCCTAATTCAGTCCAAGTTGCCTAGTCGTTGAATTGTTTAAAGAGGTTGCCGATGCACGTAGGCTTTAGCACATGAAACACTCAAGGCCTTGCGCACTGGTGTTGGAGGAGATATAGTCTTACGTCAGCGACTCTTGCATAATTCGACACAGCTAGTCACATGCTGCTGGACCACAGGTCATCGTGACAGACTACTACTACTAGGTAGAGGCTACTGGATACCTAAGTCCTAGCTAGGGAAGGACAGTTATTCCTTCCAATCAAGACAACTACTCGTGATTTTAGCGAACGACAGACCGCCTTCTTTCTACGATCGTTCGGGCATAATTAAGTATGAAAGGGTATGCTCTCTTGATGTCTCTGATTATGACTCTTCCAAGGAGACTTCGGTCTGAATGCATCATGGCACTCAGCAATTGCCCCGGCTTATTACAGTAATGAACCTTCCATGCTATCTATACGTCTCTATACTCATGCAACCTCCACACCATTAATGAAGCTTGTGATAGATCGAGTCACGATTCAACAATTCTTCCAGTTGGGCCAAGATGAGAGGTGCACAGGCATCGGAATGTTGTCGGAATAGTACACACACCGTCAAGAGTTCTCAGTGAGGGCCCCGCCAATAGATGGTCTCTGTGGTGCGTTTTATTTTGAGTCCTCTGCTACTCTAGGATGTAAATGGTGTCACGAGTTAATTGTACAATTTTAACCTAGTTCTCGCGACTCAAGCAGTCAAATTTCCTATTTCACAAAAAGCGGGTCCATATGACAAGCCATGCAGGTGATCGATATGGTGCCCACAATAGGTACTGTCTTTCAAGACACTAGTAACTGGTCGGCAATCGGACGCTGCACTTTTTTATTCAAAGCTTTCTCGTGACCGACGGTCTCTTTTGCGCAACTCTGTGTCTGGATGTTTCTCCGCCTCTACCACATGCTTCCTTCTCATGGGTCAAGGGGGCTCCTTCGCTATCATGCTGGCACTTGTGCCAAATCCAATAGGTTGGAATAATTTTCGTTCTTTCCAAAGGGTTGTCTCCTAACCTGGGGCTGCCATAACTCCCGCTCTGCCGCATGGTATGCTTCACATGAACTTATCACGATCTCAGAGCTCCCTTCCCCACCCGTCAGGAGTCACGGATAGGCTTAAATACAGAGACCGGGCAGGAGATCATACTCTCGTCCTACAGGCTATCGTTCACCATGAAGCTCAACATTGTTAATGTCAGTGTCGCTCTTGCTTCGCTTGCCGGATCGGCCTTGGCAGGTGCAGTCTATACTCTCAGCGACAACATCGTTGGCGAAGGCTTCTACAGCTCTTTCAATTTCGAGGCTATCCCCGACCCAACTGATGGGCGTGTGTATGTCTACCCCGCACGCAATTTGTTCCGTTTCTTAGTTGATGATAGGACATATGTGAACCAGTCAACGGCGCAGATGCTTAACTTGACTTATTCCACGAGCAACACCTTCATCATGCGCGCCGATGACACTACAGTGTTGACCCCCAGCGGGCCGGGCCGGAATTCCGTCAGGATCCGGTCCAACAGCCAGTACACGCAGCACGTTGTTGTGTAGGTGATCCCTCACGAATATCTCACCGACTGATGAATTTCGATGGCAGCTTTGATATGCAACATATGCCTGAAGGATGCGGGTGAGCCTCTTTTGTTCATCTGAGGAGTTTTGTTGCGCATTTCTCTTAACACAGAACATGGCCTGTAAGTAGTTGACACCGACGGAATAGGCTTATAGTAACGGATCATAGGCTGTCTGGGAAACCAACGAATCCAATTGGCCTGCTGGTGTTTGTTTTTCTCCTTGCGTGTGATGGCTCTAATCCTGACATAGTTTTCTTTCACTAGGGTGAAGTCGATATCGTCGAAGGCGTGAACAATGTGGAGCCCAACCAGTCAACACTCCACACTAGCCCTAGTTGGTTCAGTATAATTTTATGGATGTACTATTTTCAACTCTTATCATTGCGCAGACTGCACCATGCCAGATTCCACTACCCAGTTAGGGTATGTTCCAAATTGGCATCGCACATAACCGTCCGACTAAGGTTCTGATCGTTTAGCACCACAGTTTCAACCAACTGTGACACTGCGGGTGAGGCCACCATTGCTCACTTCAGTCTCTAACTAAAATGCAATAGTCGATGGAAATTCGGGTTGTGGTGTGCAGTTAACAGAAGACTACAATAGTTTTGGTCCAGGATTCAACAGTATCAATGGAGGATGGTGCGTTACTGCAAATTATGATTAATACTCTTGCACCTTACAGGCTCTTCGGCAGGTATGCTATGGAGCGCACAAATAGTTATATCCAGGTTTGGTTCTGGGAGAGGGACGATGTCTCTGCTCCCTTTGATGCTACCACCGGTGCATCGAGCATCGACACCAACCTCTGGGTAATAGTCCTTACATCTGTTGGATTAACTGTTCACGTACGATCCGACTGTTAGGGAACTCCTGCCGCTTACTTCCCAAACACCGACTGTGACCTTGCGTCTCACTTTGATGCCAATAACATTATCATTAACTTGACGTTCTGCGAGTCTTGCCTTGCTTGTCGTGTTATGCCAGGCTAATGCAACGTACAGGTGGCGACTGGGCAGGCAACTCAGCCGTCTATGCTGCTTCTGGATGCCCGTCAGACTGCGTGACCTACGTCGACAGTAAGTGCTCACCCAACGTCTAGTGCGATTGCAAACCCCTCAGTATAATTCGCAGATAACCCTACCGCGTTCACAAACGCCTATTTCCAATTCTCGTCCATTAACGTCTACACGTAGATTATCGCAGGAATGCTGTAAAATAGTTTTTTCAAGAATCCATCTTGTTGTACATGTGTAACGAAATGTGGTACATAAACCAGATGCCATCGAACTCGATGTACCTCGTGTAAGTAATCACGTCTTATTAGGCAAGTGATCATAGCGCTGTCACCCAGATACAAGGCATGTCGTTAGCTGAACCAGCGCCCATCTTATGTAATTGTCAACATGTTTGTCGTGTGTAAGTAATGCCTGAACACATGATGCTGAAGTATCGGTCTTTGTATAAAACAGATATGAATTTATCGCGTGGGAGGAGGAATCAACGGGGATCACTTGGATCAATGAGTTTCAGAGTTATGAGGTACTGCTTCCCTGGCAATCACCGGAGGACACGCTGTCGAGTGGTTACACATACCGCTTCTTCCCTCTAAAATCCCCATATCGGTCTGCTTTGGGCATCCTCCCGAACTTCGGCTCCGCAGTTTCTGGAACAAGAGTGAGCTCAATTCGTGAAGGAGACTTTGCGAAACTTACTGAGTATCTCCTTGTAAACCGCGGGAACTCCTTCACTCCAAACCTCTCGCCACATATGGACACCTCCTCCTACATTCTTATCTAGACCATGTTTCTCCATAAATGTTCTTACGTCAAAACCTGTACGCTTGTCCTTCGCAACCATATGAATAGATAGACGGGAGTGTTGGGGGAGGAGTAGAATGGTATAACGGTGGTAGTTAGTTCCACGTTGCGGGTGAGGAGGTATATAGGCAGTGTGGGTGTTCAGGTTTGGCACTGAGGAGGGAGAAACGCTCGAAAGAGGAATATTCGGTCTGAATAGAGGTCAGTAGACAAATTGAAGGAAAAGCCTATTGCTCACTGAAGCCAATGTAGATACGTCTGGAATGTTTTATTGGTCTCATCAGGAAAATCTGTTGCTGGTTCAGTGCCGGTCACTTGTAGTTCAACACCGACTAACCCGGATCGATCATTAAAAGAGTATATAGTCGCTCCTCTGGATGAAAAACAGTTGTATATATCTTAGGAGGCTCCACGGTCTTGAGGCACTGTCAGCGGAATGGATGCGTAAATGACCTGCTCTACATACCTGCTCTGGAAGAAGAAATACTCCTGGTTCAACGCGCTCGTACACGGTCTTTGAAACCGTAGCCTGAAGCCCTGCATCCGACTTGACTTTTGGGAAGTTGACCCGGAGGTCCAGCGAGGGATGGATATCAGGCAGAACGTCCGGCACGACCTTCATCTGGTGGATACGTTCCATCTACAAGATATGATATTGAGAAACATTGCCGAACTGCTTGATGCACACTTACCAACAAATCTAATGCACCTTCTTTCCTCCACCGCTGCTCCAAAAGGTGCCTGTCTACGGCTTTGGACATGTCCGCTGAAGGACTGTGAACATACGCAACGTCCAGTCAGGGACTTGCTTACCCATTCCATTAGCACATTTCCACCTCACTTGAGGAAAATTGATCTCGCTCTGCACTTCTAGAATTCTGAGCCTGTCCTCCATCACCCGCAGTGCGTGCTGGTCAGGCTGAGGTGTCTCCTTTTCACGCGCAATGGCTCCCTCCAAAGCCGTTACTTCGTCCTTGAGCGCCATTGAATCTTCTTTGATGACCTTCAGTGCTTCATCGAACGCAGGAAGAACACCAAATGCGAGAGGCCTATTCCATTCACGCGGATGTTGCAGCGAAATTCTAGGCCGACGTGTTCTAATTGCCCGAGACTGATGCTTTTGTGGTGCCACGGGTTCGCCGGATGACTGAGAATGCGAGCCGTCAGTGTCTACAGCTGTCGATGCGAGGGCTACTTGTTTTGTTGCACTTCGCTGCGCAAAACCAACAGCCCAGGGTTGGACGCGGCGTAGGGCAAGCATTACGACGGGAAGAGTCAGCCGGCCTGCTCCTTCGAAGAGAAGGTAATAAAGGCTCAATTTTAATTTAAAACTAGTGAGTGAAATTTCTCTTGACTCCGGAAAAGGAAATTTCTGGGAAGCACTGGTCTGCACGGACTCGATAATCAGACCTAGGGACATACATGGTGTGATGAATAGCAAGAGCGTATACAAATTGTATATATCTATAGTGTATCAATCAAGCAATGGTATCGTAGATGCAGTCAGATATAGAAGCGCGATATGATAAATAATTGTAAGGACAACAAGTAGATTAGTAAGGAAAAATGGAACATAAAATTACGTATAAACAGAAGTCAAGAGCAAATTATGCACGACGAAGGAATACAACAGCTCGCACAATATATACACCGATAACACCAAAACAGACAACCTAGAAAGTGGAGAAACACAGAGCAGTGCGGGGAAGACTAGCCACGACCCGGTCCTGCCGGAATCGATATTGAAACTCTGCAATTTGACTCAGGATGGAGTGGCACAGATAACAGACTGACACATACCTCCATCTCGCACAACAGGATTTTGACAGCGACGGCGTTCTTCTTGTTCTTCTCGTTCCATTTCGATTTCGTATGGCGCTTTGTAACCAGGTATCCGGATCCCGATCTTGGGAGGTGAATGTTTGGGTTCCCAGCGACCACCACCTGTTGCTTTACAAATGATACTGGACCTCCGTAGTGGATATGCGTCCAGTTCGCCGTACGATGGTTGAGGGACCTCGAATTCAGTAGGAGATAAGACAGAAGTGGGTAATGGAATATGTCCGGTGCTGAAATGAGATGAGCTCCGGGCAACGCGAACGGGTCGAGAGGGGGGTACTGGGCTGTCCACAGGAGATGCACAAACGGACGAATTGGGAGAAGGAGCTCTAGAATCTACCGGAGATTTGACAAGCATAGGAGTGGATGGTCTGCCATCTGGAGTGCGAGGCGAATTACAACCGTAGATCTGGTCCCAACAGTCATCGCAGACCTTCTTCACGAGAACTGGTGACGTTGGACTATCGTAATTTGAGATAGGCACATTCCGCGGAGGATGAAGGAAATCGAGATTAGAAACGTCAAGTAAATGGGTTGAACGGGTAGTGCACTGGTGGCAAAAAACGCCACCGCACTTTCTGCAATGCTGTTATGTACAATTAACGTTCTAGACTAACTCATAAGATGTAAAATTCGAGCTCACATGACGCCGTTCAAGGACCGAGAACTTGATGTGGCAATAAAAATTATCACATGTAGCAGCGAGAGAATCGGGCTAAGTGCGGTGAGGTCAGTATAGTGAACAACGAAGTGTGTCAGCATTGGACTGCACCTTCCAGAGGCTCCTTGGCAATAGAACTGCCAGATGTTCGTTGGTACGTGGGGGTAAGGCAAGATAGAGGCGAGAGTCAGATGTTGGGGAAGAGCCTTTACAAAATTCGTCAGAAAAAAGATCCAGCATGTCTCTCAACAATCATACCTTCTGCCAGAGAGGACGCGTCAGAGGAGCATTCTGAGTCATTAGAAGTTAATGAGCTAGCGTGGGCCATCGTAGAATGTGCCTTGGCAGCAAGGTTGGCCAGTACAGTAGCAACTTGAAGAACAGACATGGCGGAAGAAAGTGTGAAGAATTAAATGTGCAGGCCGCAACACTGAGTTGATCTCTTCCGTTGCTACAAGTTATATCGAATTCCATCATTGTCGTGGGAATCTCTGGGAGACCGTCACTACATCGGCGCTATTTCGAACCTTGAAAAATTGGACTTTCTAGTATATTGTAATTAGCCGAGCCAGGCCGACCCTTGCAACAACCTTGGCTGGAGCCGCCCGAGGCCGCTCAACGGGCTTCTTGCCATTGGAGGATTCAGTGGAAACGAACAAAAGCCAAATCGATTTTATAACGTATATCAATGCCGCGGAGTTTCACGGAGTGTCGGGAAAATCCCTGGGAACAAACCTTGCCGGATTGTGCGGTCGGTTAAGTTTTGTTTCGACATCTTCCGGCCGCTCTTCCCAGCACAGTCATGTGTGACAAGGTCAATACACATGCCACCAAAGCTTGGCTACTCCAAGGGCCGAAGATTGCATTGTCAAATTTCAACGTTGTTTATATGCGATTTATTGTCTTAATCACTGCACCTTGGGAGATGCGCAAAAGCCTCATATAAGCAACGACAATCGTTCATACAGTAACATAAAGGAATGTATGTTTCCAATAATCACAGTGGGTGTGGCAAGTAGGATAAAACTCAAAAGCAACTAGAGTTAAAAGCAGTACATACAATCTCACGAAAGCACAAGCGAATGATTAACCATGGCGTCCTCCTCTCGCGCTGTCAAAATGCTCGTCCAGAAACCGTCCGCCGCCTGGCCCGCGTCGCGAATTCTTCGCAGCCAGTGGAGATTCTGCGAGACGCCCGACAGGGGCGAAATTACGACCAATTGGTGTGATGTCAGGGCCAGAGGAGAGATGGGTAATTGGAAGTTGCGAATCATCTGCACCTCCCAACAAATGGTGTCCAAACCGACGGTTTGACATGCCCTCGCTAGGCCTAGTGGGCGTGTGGAACAACTCAGGACCGCGTCCCTGCCAAAAATTATTTTTTGGTGTTGCAAAGGGAGCGCCAAACCTGATGCCGCGTGAAGGTGTCGATGTTGGATCAAATGGAGATTCGTCAGCCATAAATGGCTCAGCACAACCAGGTGTCGTTGTGTACACACGAACACTTTGAGAGGAGAGTTGTGGTGTCTGTGGACCAGGCTGGGAAGATGCTTCATCCCAGGAAGAACCAGAGGAAAAATAAGGGCCCGCCCTTCGGCCAGGTGGGGTCATGGGTGGGCGTGGAGAGCTGTTCCATGGGACTGCTGGCGAGGGGTTAAGGCCCGCGTGAAAGAAGGGTGGGTCGTAGCTTTTGTCATGCCTTAGCTTCTCTTCAGTTGGCACGAACGTTGGCTCGAATGTCGGCAAGATATCTGGAGGAGGTGTTTTGGCACAACTACCACAAAACCAGGGATCTTCCTCCCTACCCAAGTCTGCGACACTTCGAATGCCAATGCATTGTAGATGGTACCAAGTATGACATTCGTCACATTGAACCAACTCTCGGCCATCATCGCTGCCTCGACAAATACAAACAATTTCATCATCAATGTCATCGTCGGTGGGTTTACGCTGCGCTCGTCGGAACGAGAACTGTCTAATTGATCGCTTCGATAGCAATGCAGTTCTGGCATCAGCTGGATCGCTCGGAACAACGGATACCGTTGTTGGACCACGATCTCGATTCTGCGAACGAGCGAGAAGAGGGTACGTTTTGCCTCTACCGCTACCGAACCCGGAACGCACTGTTTGATTCTGAAACAAACTCTCTTCATCGTCTTCATCATCCGAATCCCGGCTAAGAAAATTTTCAATGTACCGCAAGCGTTGTTCCTCCTCCATTTTGGAAAAATCGTCGCACTGCTCCGAACGCAAGCGCCACGGAAATTGGGCGTCCGGCCAGTTTGGAACATCAGCATTTGCTTCCAATTGCAAATGGAAGGTCCTTTGGTCTCTCGATTCATCCATGGAAGGCGTCTTCTTCTTTTTCCGGTAACGCTTCTTCTTCGATGGACTAAGTTTATTTGGACTGGGTGGATCAGAGGGTCCAATATCCATCAATACTCTGCCATATCCTTCTACCTCAACTGGAGCTAGTTTTGACCGTGAGGAGGAAACATGGGAAGAACTCCGGAATGCGGACAATCTGTTCTGTTGGCGGAGCTCCTGCTCGCTGACCAAAGGAAATGCTTCAGGTTCTCCAGAAGGATCCAGAGCCCCAGGATCCGCAGGTCGCTGTAGGTCCGTGCGCTGAACAGTGAAGTAGTGAGAGGGTTAGCATGCCCGCCGAGGTCAAATGGAATCGGTACATACATAGCGATCATACCCTCCTGCCATCAAACTTTCTTCAAAGCTTTCGTCAGAAGTTTGCTGGAATAACATCAACCGCCGGCCTTTGATAGGACTCTCCGTTACTCCGATCGTTGCGGCTGCACGCTGTCCTTCTATACCGTCTACATCAAGAGGGGGTGGTGACTCTATACGCTTTGCACGCTTGAGGTAATCAGGCCTCCGTGCCTCCGCTTCTCGTGTGAGGCTAATCTGATTCTCTAACAGCTGTGCACGGATCCGAGCCATCTCCCCTCCGACCTCTTCGCTAAGTTCCTGTGATGCGGAAGGTGGTAAAGAAGTGCTGTTAGACGGAGGCAGGAAGTCGGTAGATGAAGCCTGAGATGCCGGACGCTTTCTATTCGAAGTGGCATTCTTGACCTCCATTGATTGTTGCGTGGTCACACTGTATGTATTATCTTGCGCGACATAGATGTGAGGACGGGGAGAATGTTCTGCTGTGCCCCCGACAGGTCCGTTTGGTGAACTGTGAAAGTGTTGAGTATACAACATAGTCAGCATTTGTGAATGAACCAACTTTGTGGGCGGCGTTCTTCTGATAATCCGAGGGGGCGAATGACTAATGGGATTCAGCAACATTCATGGAAATGGACCTATAAGGCATATATACCTTCTCTCGTCGTTCTTTCCGTGAGGTCCGTTTGCACGAGAACGAACCACGAGTGGGCTGAAACTAAACTTGATGACTCTACACGTAAGACCAAATCAAGCCATACCTGGAATCTGGTGTGATCATTTTATGGGGCCTAAATGTTGGAGATAAAGCAGCAGGATATCTACATCGGACATCTAGTTCACATCGATTCAAACCAGTCAGTCACACTCACGAGATGGATCTAAAGTCTGTTGGCACGACGTCCTCCAGCAAGCTGTACGACATAATTACTCCTGCTTTGTTTCCTTTAGAAAGCTAAATGACATACTCACATTTGACCTCTGGGAGTAATGTTCGATTGTCCATATGCACCAAGATTACTAGGGCTGTAAGAAAAGTACAATTAGCGTCTTGCGTGGACACACGTATTGAATTTCCTTGAGTGAGTGAAAGTTAAAGATTTGCAGATTCGCAAATGCCACTTGCAACAGTGAACAGATAGGGTAAATATCAAAGCGGACATGCTCACCTCAGCGGCGTAGGAAGATGTACATGTTGAGTGGAAAAGGGAGGTAGCAAGCCATTTACGGGCCTTGTTGGACTATCAGGTGTGTCAGATTACGTATCCGTACTGTATGTACCATTTACTCACCTAGCACCATCTGATGATGCACGCCCCCTCTCGGTGTACTCATTCGTTGAACCAGGGGTTTGGTGGTATGTGAGGTGCGAGAGCCGCATTGTCTCTGACATATCTGGTGTCCTCAGCACGCTAAGCTGCGGCATACTGTTTCCTGTCACAGTAGGTGCGACCTCGTTGCTCGTTTTTGCGGATTTGTCAGACACGGCCATGGGACTCTGGCTGCCGCCTCAGGGATACGCCAAGGATCGGAAACAGGACCAAGAGCTACGAAAGATCGACCAGACTATGAAGATTCGATAGGCTGTTCCTTTTGTCTTGACCAGCCCTTCACAGCTGGATTGAAGAGGGATTAAAGGTGAACTTGCAGACAAATGAGTCTATCTTCTAATTAGTTTACAACCTCGAAGATTACATAACCAACCACAGTTTGATCCGAAAATGATGTAGTTGCAAATCCTACTGAACTTAGCACCGAATCACTGCCGAACGTTCTGAACCCTCAATTTTACTGTAATTAGCTCTAAACTTCGTCATGCCTGTGCGCGCCATTGAATTCTATAGTGGCATAGGTGCTTCATAGATATCGATGTGACCGAGCTTTTCTTAAAATCACTTCTTAGGTGGCCTGCATCTCGCACTTCGCCAAAGTTGTGTGGCATGTTCCCCTGTGAAAGCGTTCGACTGGGATCAAACTGCATGTCAGGTATATGCAGCTAACTATGGCGTCAAAATAATTACCAGGGTAGGTCGACCTTTGATACATGATTCTCTGGCACTGACCTGTGCGAGGTCGTGTGTCCTTTTCGTAGATAGACATATCAACCCTTTCGGCGGCAGATCTTTTACACTTGGATGCCGACGTTTGGCTCCTATCCCCACCATGCCAACCTTATACCATTTTGAACCCTGATGCTAGAGGAGAGGCCGACCCTAGAGCAAAGTCGTTTCTTCATTTGATCGATCATGTTTTGCCGGACCTCACTGCCCAGGACTCCCAACCTCGCTACATACTCATCGAGAATGTAGCAAGCTTCAAGGTCAGTCTACGTCATCCCACGGCGTACATTGTCCAATCTTGATGTAACATCGACAAGGACTCGATAACAAGGAGACATTTAGTCGATGCCCTTCAACGGTTCGGCTACGTTGTCGCTGAATTTCTTCTCACTCCTGTACAGTTTGGTATACCAAATTCGCGACTAAGATACTACCTTCTTGCGAAATTATCCCCCCTCCGGTTCTCTGGCCTTCATGAATCTCAATTCGACGGAGTTCGCGAGACGATACCAGGAGCTGCATTAGACGTTCCTATACACTCGCTAAAGGAATATCTGGACCCTACCAACGAAGATGGAATTCCTCTACGTCACAGCATCCACGATCGAGTACTTTCAAAGTGGGGTCGTTTGTTCGACATCGTACTGCCATCCGATCGGCGGACCTGTTGTTTCACGAGGGGTTTGTTTACTCTAACGCTGACTATTTCATTTACCAATTTTACCCTAGGTTATACACAACTTGTTGAGCGTGCAGGTTCCATACTTCAGGTGAATGAGGATCTTGATGTAAGTTTACAGCCGTAATGTTGAAACTTGAATTTTGAACTGAAGTAAGGCAGACCACCGAGGTCTTTGACAGGTTTCTTGAAGCTCAATCGCGGGGAGCTGAAGACGCCGTCCGTATCCTAGATCAGCTACACCTTCGCTATTTTACTCCCAGCGAACTCTTGAAGATCTTTCGATTCGAGGAGCCAGAGTCCAACCAAGAATTTTTGTGGCCGCCCACCATATCTCTAAAATCACAGTACCGGCTCATTGGCAATAGCGTCAATGTGGAAGTGAGTGAATTTTCTTTGATACCAGAAAATTTTGGCGATTCCCTATACAGGTCGTGCGGCGCCTGATCGATTATCTTCTTGATGGTGATGAATTTACAACGTGATTCTTATTCCTTCCTCTTTTGTTTCACTTCCTTGATAGCAGCATTGGTTTCATGAAGCTATGTTAGCCCTACCCTTTACCTCTATCGGCCAGATCCCAGAGCCGCAACAATGCGTTCAGGTTCTGCACCTACAATCAGGCTGGTCTATGGTTCAGCTTTAAAATCTAGTTCACCGGCCTAGTGCACTATATCGAGGTGTCTCGTTTTACTTAGACTGTCTCAGATACGTGCCCACATTTAATTATTTAATTATTTAAATAATAATCGTATTCAAGAAACTATTTTGGAAGTGTGTCAGATCTAAGAAATTATTGTAATTTTAACGTAACCCTTATCTCAATCACCAGTCACCTTGCTTGCAAGGTCATACTAGATGTCCACTAGAGTTCGCGCATTTTTGGGAAAACATCTATAACTCTACAACACATCCACATAAAAATATAAATTTTTGACGGATGGATAGCCTGACATTGAAAGTACAAGGCCTGCTAGTTTTTTCTTTTAAAATCGACGTGTTGAGTCCAGCGGAGACTTACCGCGCAAAAAAGTGCAGGTTTCCCTAGAGTTCGCGCATTTCGTCACACCATGTCACACGTCTGCCGCGGTGCCGTTTCACATTCCGCACCGTTCGAAAGTCGACTGCAGCGTATTTCGGCACAGCGGAGTTTAGATGTGTGTAGTCTCATTGTAACGCTTTGGATAGATTGTCACGTCTGGGCTGTATTTCATTCACAGCAGATGATTCTGACAAGCATGTAGCCCCGGAGAAATTTATTTTAGCATTCTATAATCATGTATAATCATCATATTGCATCCCAGATTTTTCCGTGGTGATCTGACCTTCAGAGGGAGTCATCTATGTACAAAATGAGCCTCGAACACCTATAACTCGACCATGGCACGAGATCCACTTCATTTCTTGCCAAAAAAATTACATGGTCATGTGTACTATGTTGGGAGGAACCTATATACAACATACATAAGGATTCCGTGCAGAATTGCGTGTGCTAGAGCCAATGCGCGAACTCTAGGGACGCGCGAACTCGTGGGACTATTACCTTGCGAAGCAAGGTCAGGTTCACATGGATCATTTTATGTGATTTCCAAATAATAGTAAATACAGTGACGCCATACAACGTGATACGATGATGCGAACTTATCACCTACCTCCGATTTCCCTTCCAATACTTGTCGTTTTCTGAATAACAAAGTAATAACTTAGACCGTGTGTCACGAGTTCCAAATACAAACCATTATTCGTTCCTTAATTCTAAGTCCTTTAAGCGCCCAGTCACAGCGCCTGTTCCTAAGAATATGTTTACTGTTGAAGAAGTTCCTATTATTGCGTCTATTGTAGAATTACCAGAGTCACGTGATCGATCGGACAATGCCGAAGATGTTGACGTCATGCCTCGCGACACTCTTGGAATGTTCCAGAGTCTTACTGCGGCTGCGGCACATGTTATGACATCATAGTTATATATAGAATCGTACGATACCTTTAATTATTCTGATTGGTTAGTTAGTTCATACTCAGTTTCGATCTCAGTTTCAATATGTGTATATAGGTAGCTCGTCGTAGTCAGTAGTTCTTTAGTTCAAACCTCTTGTATCTCCAAGTGAGCAATACCAAGACGTACCTGCTGCCTACTTCCTCTGCGTGATTATTCTTTGTTTGAGTCCTAGTCTCTGCCCAGCGTTAATTCGTTATTGGGTTGTGACATTAGGTTTGAACTATAGGAGACTCCGACTCTTGCGTTACACTCTCGCATCTCTTTCTCTTTCGCCTGGTCGTGTTGATAGCCATCACACCGTCAGCCGAAACAGAACCGTTATACTTTTGCCCAGCTTAACCGCTGCGATCCTTTGATTTCATCCCTTTGCTCATTTGAGCGCATTTTCATACCTATCATCTTTCTTAGTTAGTAGTCCTATACCAGGCCCTGTCTTACCGCAGCCGCCAGTATACGGAGGTGTTCACGACATTAGGCGTGTCACTGCAACTTTGAGTGCTGGCCCAAAACCCTGCCTGCTCAACGTTACTATAGTTTCATTTTACCTATCCTTTTCTTCATACGCACGTAGGCATTCGTTTCGAGTCAATAGCGGAACTGTCTAGACGACAAACCGTGCTTTCGACCTACGAGGATTTAGCGACATACCCTAGTGAGACTCGCACTTGTAAGCTTCGGCTGGAAGAGTGATAACTTGTCCTAGGCTTGTACCCTCAGAACGGAGATTGCATTGTCCCTAGTTTTTCCCACTCGATCGAGTATAGTTACGTATCCTTTTTAGTTAGTATTAGGGAAGCATCGGTTGGGTTGATTAAAGAACCCTTCGATCCTGAAGTACGTGGTAGATCCGATCAGATATCGGGGACCGCTTCAGTTTTCCATCACATAAACTTTCTTCTTTTCACCATCATTCCCTTTCGGAAGAGCCCTTACGAGCAGCTCTTCAACAGACATCAGTGAATCGGGTTCCAGAACACAACTGGCACTATGTCTGAATTACCAAACTCTCCTACACAGTCTGCACCGACAGTGGTGTTACCATCCACTCCACAGGAGGTTGTTGAGTACATTCACATGTCACTTGCAAACCAAGCGGAAAGCTTCAGGGTCAGAATAGCGGAACTAGAAGCCAAGAATTTAGCTCTAGAAGAAGCAAACAGACTCCTGGGCGTACGCCTAGAAATGCAAGAAGACGAGACTGTGAAAATACAGTCTCAACAACCATCATTCGGCTCTGCAGGAGCTAGCTTACTTTCGTCAAACTCTTCCCCTTCCATCAAATACTCCAAACCCCAAGACTTCACTGGAGAAAAAGACTCCATAGAACTCATGGTCTGGATATCCCAAGTAGCGCTATACACTGCGCAATGGCCCAACATCCAAGAAGGCCAAAGAATTGGAGTAATGCTCTCCTTCATGAAAGGTACTGCAGCCAAATGGGCGCAACCTTACATTAGCAAACTTGGAAAGACCGGAGATGAGAAGTTGACCGTGGAGAAATTCCTGGAAGACTTAGAAGCCATGTGGGGGCAAGAAGATCGCGAAGGAAAAGCGATCAGAGAACTGGAATCCCTTAGACAAGGATCTTCCTCAGTTCCAGAGTACGCGGCCGCTTTCAGACAAAAGGCCGCACACACTTCATTTTCCGACTACGACCAGCGTCAGAAGTTCAGAATGGGACTTCAAGACCGCGTTAAAATACAACTCGCTCATGTCCATTACGAGGACAAAAACACCATGAAGAAACTGGTGGAACATGCGATCCAAATCGGACGCAACTTCGAAGAGCTAGACGCGGACAAGAAGAAGACGATCTGGTGGACCCCTAAACAAGGCCCCAGGACCCCTGAATACAAACCTGGTCCAAGCAGGGAAAGCGACGCTATGGACGTCGACGCCAACAAGCAGCGAGGTGCTCCAAAACCTCAAGGAAGGACTGGATCCTTCAAATGCTACCGCTGTGGAGGCGAAGGCCATATGGCTAGAAACTGCAAAGACGCAGTCGCACCAAAAGTGCAGGTGAAGGCTACTACAGTGCCAAAAGAAGAAGACCCTATCCCGAGTTGGTTCAAAGCCTGGGTCAGCTCTAAGGAAGGCAAGGGTTTTTAGAAGGGTCGAAGTCAAAGTCTGCGAACTTAGACCCGAACAATCATTTCTCTATCCTATCTACGTTCTCGGATGTATCAGAAGTATATATTAAATCCAAATCTGAGCATTTTTACATTCCGATCACGTTGAAGGGAAAGAACCGACAAGCAGATGTGAAAGCACTGGTAGATTGCGGTGCATCAACATTATTTATTAGCGAGAAGTTTGTGAAGAAGAATGAAGTCCGGTGCCATAAATTATTAAGGCCCATTCCGGTTAAAAACATTGATGGCTCGTTAAATGCCGCTGGATCGATGACTCATTACGCTGAATTAGGTCTAAAGATCGGTGACCATGTTGAAGACCAAGCAGCCTTCATGGTTACGGACTTAGGAAGCGATGACGTTATTATTGGCATAGATTGGCTAAGATATCACAACCCGGAAATAGATTGGAACGCTGGACGTTTTGCACTTTCTCGTTGCCCGGTTAAATGTATTACTAAAAAAGAACAAAGACAAAAAAATAAAGAAAAAAGAAAAAAGAAAAGAACAAAAAAAGATAGAAGAAGTGCCAGATCTGATTCCCACAGAAGAGGATGACGAAGAAGACATGGCGATGAAAAGGGCGACAGTTGAGGAAATAGAAGACGAAGAGTATCCTGGAGAATGGATCAAGTATAAAGCCTCGGTTGCCACGGAGCAGAAGGTTGCAGAAGAAGCAACGAAGGTGAAGAAATCGGTCGAAGAGATGGTTCCCGATTGGCTTCACGAGTACCTGGGAGTTTTCTCAGAAGAAGAATCTAAGCGCTTCCCTGAAAGAAAGAAATGGGATCATGCGATAGATCTTAAAGACGATGGCGATCTTCCGCCGAATGCGAAACCCTACCCCTTATCACCCAAGGAGATGGACACTTTGAAAGATTGGTTAAAAGCCGAGACTGCACTGGGACGTATAAGAAATTCACAATCTCCAGTCGCAGCACCTTTCTTCTTTGTGGCCAAAAAGGATGGCAAGTTAAGACCGGTGATGGACTATAGAAAGCTCAATGAGAAGACGGTTAAAAATGCATATCCGCTACCGAGATCTCAAGATTTGATTGATGCTTTAACCGGTGCCACGATGTACTCCAAGATGGATGTAAGATGGGGGTACAATAATATTCGCATGAAAGAAGGAGATGAGTGGAAGGTGGCCTTCAAAACGCCGTTTGGTCACCATGAACCAACCGTGATGTACTTCGGTTTAACAAACTCCCCTGCCATGTTTCAAACCATGATGAACGAGATATTCAGAGATTTAATTGATGGAAAGACTGTAGTTGTCTATATCGATGATATCCTCGTGTTCACAAATGGCAATAGGGAGCAACACCGAAAAGTTGTACGAGAGGTACTAAAACGACTAAAAGAGAACAATCTGTATCTGAAGCCTGAAAAGTGTAGCTTCGAACAGACAGAAGTCGAGTTCCTCGGGTTGATAGTGGAGAAGGGTGGTGTTCGAATGGACCCTGTGAAAGTAGAAGGAGTAATGAAATGGCCTGTACCCAAATGCGTTAAAGATATACAAGCATTTATGGGCTTCGCCAACTTCTACAGAAGATTTATCTTCGGGTTCTCAGACATTGCTAGACCAATGAATGATTTATTACGGAAAGATGTCAAATGGGATTGGACAGAGAAACAGCAAGATGCTTTTCATGAACTGAAGTCAAGGTTTACATCAGCTCCGATCCTAGTAATGCCTGACGTTGAGAAGAAAATGAAAATAGAAACCGATGCTTCTGATTATGCAACTGGAGCGGTTCTATCTCAACTGATGGAAGATGACCTATGGCACCCCGTGGCATATTACTCTAAGTCAATGAACGATGCAGAAAGAAATTATGACATCCATGACAAAGAGTTACTTGCAATCATTCGAGCGTTGGAGGAGTGGAGGCACTATGTGCAGGGAAAACCTCACCATGTGGAGATCTGGACGGATCATAAAAATCTCGAGTACTTTATGACGAGCCAAAAGTTGACAAGAAGGCAAGCCAGATGGAGTTTGTTCCTGGCGGAGTATGAATTTACGCTCCAACATAAGCCTGGTGTAGTCAACGATAAGGCCGATAAGCTTTCTCGGAGAGAAGACCACAGAGGGGGGGTAGAAAACGACAATTCTGATCGCATTTTGTTAAAACCGGAGTTTTTTACTGTAAAAGCTGCTAAAAGAGGTCAAGTTCTAGTGCAAGGAGAAAAACAATTGCTGAGAAAGATAAGGCAATGCACAGAACAAGAGCCCAAAGTCGCTAAAGCGCTACAAATGCTAAAAGCAGCACCGGTACAATTGCGTAGAGGAGTCGAAGAGTGGAATGTGGAGGATGGATTGGTGTTATTCCGAGGACTGGTTTACGTTCCAAATGATAAAGAGATCCGCCGAGAGATATTGGAGTTGTTTCATGACTCTCCACCGGCTGGACACCCTGGACGTGCCAAAACCTTAGAGTTAATTTCCAGAAATTATTGGTGGCCTTCAATGACGAAGTATGTCCACGATTACGTAGATGGCTGTGATAGATGCAGAGCAACGAAGATTCACCCAACGCAACCACATGGTCCGCTTAAACCAAATGAAATACCAGCGGGACCTTGGCAATCAATCACTTGTGATTTGATAGTAGATTTGCCTAAAAGCGAAGGGTTCGATTCTATTTTTGTTGTCGTTGATCGATACACGAAACAAACACACATCATGCCTACGAAAAAGGAAGTTGACGCTCGAGGAATCGCGAAACTTTTCTTAGATAACGTATGGAAACACCATGGAACTCCGAAACAGGTGATATCGGACAGAGGAACACAATTCGTCTCCAAGTTTATGGGACAAGTGTCGAAACGCCTAGGCATAAAATGGAACATGTCAACGGCTTATCATCCTCAGACAGACAGACAAACAGAGAGAATCAACCAAGAAGTAGAGCAATATCTGAGAATGTTCACGTCTTACCGCCAAAATGATTGGGTAGACTGGCTTCCGATAGCAGAATTCGCTCACAATAACTCTGTCACTGTAACGGGTCATAGTCCATTCAAAGTACTCTACGGATACGATCCAGAGTTCACTTTTTCACCAATTTCCAATTCTAAAGTACCTGCAGCTGATGAACGAGTGGATGTAATGAAAGAGGCGAAGGAAGACGCAGAAAGTATGCTGCGAATGGCGAATGAGCGGATGAAGAGATTCTACGATAGAGGAGTAAAAGACGTACCACAATTCAAGAAAGGAGATCTGGTCTGGCTCAATGCCAAAAATATCCGTCAGAAAAGACCAAATAAGAAACTCTCCGATCGACGACTTGGTCCGTTTGAAGTGCTAGAGAAGACGGGTGACGTAAATTACCGCCTGAACCTTCCAGCAAAATATCAGATTCATCCGGTATTCCATGTAGAATTACTCACTCCGCATTCCCCCTCGACCTTAGTCCAAAGACTTCCACATCATCGTCCGCCGCCAGAGATCTTATCAGAAGGCGATTCCGAATGGATAGTACGAAAAGTCCTAGACTCGAGACTGCACAGATCAAAACTCCAATACCTAGTAGAGTGGGAAGGATATCCGATAGAAGAAGCGACATGGGAACCTGAGGAAAACCTTGAGAATGCACGGTTGAAAGTTCAAGAATTTCACCGGCAAAATCCGAAAGCATTAAATCCCCGCAAAATTAACAAATCGGTATTCGAAACCCAAGAGTTTTTGGAATGGCGCAAGAAGTTTATTCGTCCTAGTTTCATTCGCGATGACGCTCATCCTAGAAAGGGGGTAATGTCACGAGTTCCAAATACAAACCATTATTCATTCCTTAATTCTAAGTCCTTTAAGCGCCCAGTCACAGCGCCTGTTCCTAAGAATATGTTTACTGTTGAAGAAGTTCCTATTATTGCGTCTATTGTAGAATTACCAGAGTCACGTGATCGATCGGACAATGCCGAAGATGTTGACGTCATGCCTCGCGACACTCTTGGAATGTTCCAGAGTCTTACTGCGGCTGCGGCACATGTTATGACATCATAGTTATATATAGAATCGTACGATACCTTTAATTATTCTGATTGGTTAGTTAGTTCATACTCAGTTTCGATCTCAGTTTCAATATGTGTATATAGGTAGCTCGTCGTAGTCAGTAGTTCTTTAGTTCAAACCTCTTGTATCTCCAAGTGAGCAATACCAAGACGTACCTGCTGCCTACTTCCTCTGCGTGATTATTCTTTGTTTGAGTCCTAGTCTCTGCCCAGCGTTAATTCGTTATTGGGTTGTGACACCGTGCAACTCCCTCGCGCCCAGAGCTCCGCCCACAGGGCGAAGCTAGTGCGCTTCCCTTCCAATATTCGTCGTTTTCGGACAACTCCCTTTTTTGTTAATATGTTGGTAATAATGTGATGAATAAATAAAAATTAATCCTATAATTTTACGCCGCGACCCTAAACATCATATTTACTATCTATCTATCGAAACACCATGCAACCTAGCGTATTTGAACTGCTAAGTACCTCAGACAATCAATGTGCTTTCATTTTCAGTGAGTATAGACTGAGAATTACTGATATCGTTCTGGATCCCAGAGAGCCAAAGATTGGGAGCAACACTGTGGAAGCAAAGAGAGCATTCTTGCGTTATCCCCCTGCATTTGTTATCATTCACCTCGACTTCTGCGATTTACCGCCATTGCACGGACTTCTGCCTCAGCACATACCAGTGTTACCTTGCGAAATTAAATTTTCCATGGGCACAGGTCCTTCTACAAGAATCACGCGGCGTCAACTCCCTGTAACACCAGCTTACGCATTTACCGACTTTAAAGCACAAGGACAGACGATTGATCACGTTTTAGTGGACATTGGAAGAACGACATGTTTTCGCCTATCTCCCTTCAATGCATATGTCGCACTATCCAGAAGTCATGGCCGAGAATGCATACGTCTTCTCAGAGACTTCGACAATGATCTATTCCTTCAACATCCAAACGAAGACCTTCGGATAGAAGATAACAGGATTGAGCGACTCGCGGAGGAAACGAAAAAGTGTTTCTCGAGGACAGACAGTCTGACAGAAAACAAGGTACCATAGTGCAGTACACTGAAAGAAACAATGTAGTAGTAGCTATATAGTGATGTCAGAAGAAATCCTGGGGCGAAGCCAGACTAAACGAGCACGATAGAGCTAGAAAAAGACAGAATGTGAGCAAGGTCCACGTTGGCAACGCCGACCCCTAGTCTAGTATGCCATCTGACAAAATCTGACGGACTAACTGCCAATAATAAACAATAATAAATATCAATAAATGTTGAATGTGGCTGTATGTCATGACATTACCGATGCAGTTTACAGTTTTTGAACCATGTCGCAACAGCTCAAATCTGCCCTGGATAAATTAACAATGAAAGATATCATAGCTGCAGTAGGTGACGACAACTTGAGAAAAATCCGAGACCATGCAGGCAAGCAAGGTCAGATTCGGCAACGCCGAACCCTAGTCATTGCAAATGACTCAAGGTGGGAAATTTCCGACAATTATGCTGCGGATGGGCGGCTGGATGCGGTCGGATGGTGGATATCAGATGCGCTCGATCACCCAGCTGCTACAGTTACATAATACAGATTGATACCGCCACAGAAATCAAATGCAATAGGTACAAGTTTCAAATGCTTTGTCGAACTGAGTTCCGAGGACCGGTTACGGCTTTTAAGTTACCGGACAGTCCTATATATATTTGGTTCCGTGATGAGTAGTGAGTACTAGTACTAGTGCAGTGATACGACTCGCATCCTTTGTTTGCACCTGACGTATCGTGACGCGACGTTTTAACATGCCTCAAAACAAGTTCCAGAGGACTTTTATCGTCGGCTGTGGATGCACGGCATTCATAAAGGTCAATAATTCAATCTTGCCAGTCTCTAGTATTCAATTCATTCGATACGCAGCCTAGAGGGCAGAGGACAACGGAGGATGTAAGCAGAATGAGTACAAGAAACGAATGATTACAGATTCCATTTATGTATAGATGGGACTTGAAGCAGGGACAAAGGCGCTGCTCGATGCTGGTGAGTCATGCATGAAGAGACAATTTGTTCAAAACCACAATTCGAACTTCCTAGGTATCACATACGATGCAGTGCAAACTGCATTTGTGGGTTACTGCTATGGTGATTCTACGAGCGGTCAAGTATGACACTCTTTAATTCAGTTTTACGATGCTAATCGGTATAGCGAGCTCTTTATGGCCTTGGAATGACTGGGATACCCATCACCAACGTGAATAATAATTGTTCGACCGGAAGTACTGCACTGTTCCATGCGAACAATGCTGTCAAGTCAGGTCTGGTCGACTGTGCCCTCGCATTGGGCTTTGAGCGTATGGCGGCGGGTAGTCTTGGGACCAACTTTCCCGACAGGCCACCACCGACTCTCTTGTTCCATAAGCGGACCGTAGACCTCGAAAAGACCCTAACTTCCGGAACAAACTTTGGTCCAGGTGCTCCGCGAATGTTTGGCAACGCAGGGCAAGAGTATATGGATAAATTCGGTGCCGAAGTCAAACACTTGGCCATGATAGGTATTATCCAGCGCTCGTATTAAAAATATGTGTTCAAAACGTATTCTAGCCGCAAAGAATCACGCACACTCCGTCAAGAACCCATATTCACAATTCCGTAACGGATGGACGGTTGAACAAGTCCTACAAGCACCTAAAATTAATGCTCAACTCACGAAGTTCATGTGCAGTCCTACATCGGTAACGGTCCTCCCGTTCTCAAGTACTCAACACTCACCATGCATCAGGATGGTGCAGCCTGCTGTATCGTTGCATCAGAAGACTTTGTACATGCCCATGGATTGGAGAATCAAGCCATTGAAATAGTTGCGCAAGGCCTTGAGACGGACGACCCTGCTGCGTATGATGCTGAGAGCGCTATGGATGTTGCCGGTTACGGGATGTCGAAGCGATGTGCTGACAATGTATTTAAAGACGCTGGCTTTGCCGATGGTGAAGGGCGTGACTTGGTTGGCGTGGTTGAGCTGCATGACTGTTTTTCCGCAAACGAAGTAAGTACGCCTTTCCTTACATGGTCTGGCGCATGACCCTCCCTTAGCTCATTACATATCCTGCACTTGGACTTTGTGCCCCTGACGAGGCCCATAAGATGGTCGAAAGGGGTGACAATACGGTCAGAGTTTTCTCTTTCAATTGGGAAGTAACTGAACCTTCTGTAGTATGGCGGCAAGTATGTTGTAAACCCGAGCGGCGGTCTTGAAGCCAAAGGACATCCACTCGGGGCTACTGGTCTGGGTATGCATTTTTATATAACAAGTGAGTAGCATTCTATTAAGTTGGCGATATTATTCTCATCGCTTTGGCAGTGCAATTGCGTAATTGTTCGTGTGGCGATCAATCTGTTTGCTCTCCGTCGTTTTCCTAACGCAATTGATGTATAGTGGCAGGACCTATGCAAGCACCTGGCTTATTCGACATTCCGGACAAACGGGGAAAATTCGGTCTTGTTCACAATATTGGTATTGGGGGTGCAGTGGTCGTTAGTCTACTCCGCAGACCTGAGTTTTACAAAGCGGGGGGTATTGACAGCCAGGCTAGGTAAGCATACCCTTATTTGAATATAGTTCACTAACCTGCGTGATATACCAGGCTAGGATACAATCACGCTTATGAATGCCGGCCTGTTACGCTTGCAGATGTCGACAAAGTCAAGTCGAAGAAATCATCGAAGTTTGTCCTTCAGCATGCAAAACTTTGAAAAGCCTATGAAATATCTTATATTTGTATCTTCTTGTGTTATCGATCCGTAATCTAGTATGCCAATGAAGCGGAAGATATTTTGGTAGATGAGTCTGGATCATAAAGAAAACCAAAGGAAAACACTTTATTGGGCTACTCCTTATAGCTAGGGATCTGTACTTACATAAGACGTATACTTCAAACCTCACGAGTGCTGTCAGTGAGCATCTGTAGACCTGCCTTCTTTCTGTCCGAAGTTCCTATTACACGGCATATTCTCCTCAGATGCAGGCAGCACCGGTCAGCGCCCTCGGCACCCTTGCTGACCCTCCTGCTAGAATGGTCGATGGTGCAGCCATGGACTACTTATTGATCGAAGCTGTGAATGCCCTTCGTGTCTCATCAGCAGTCGCTTCTGCTCGAGCAAAAAAAATAGAGCGCGACATGGTCGAAGCTGGTTTGGTTCCACCACCACCGACAACCGCCAAACAACAGAATCCGAGAGACAGTACTAGTAGCACGTCAGGTAAGATATCAGGGCCTGCGGATGAGGACGAGGGAGTGAGATCTAGGCTGGAAGCTATCGGTATGCACATTGGGGGTAACTTTGTGGAGAGGTACGGTGTCTCAAAGGCAATTTCTCATCCTAATTGCCTTCAAGGCTTTGCCGTGATCGCCCATTATTCAGTGACTCTCTGGACGTTATCAAGTTTGTTTGCAAGGATCTTTGGGTTTCTTGCTGGGATAAACAAGTCGATAACTTGCGTACGAATCACAGGGTAAGCAATTGATTCACGACTTCGGACATTTGGCGTTTGAAATATTCGTAGGGGGTCTATGTTCTTCAAGATAACGCTTTCAAGCCAATTACTCGAATTTCTTCATGGGAGGGTCGACAAGAAGCTCTTAAGCGAGCCAAGCTGGTATGTCAATAGTTTAAATTGATCACACTTTTATATGCTTTGACGTATCTCAAAGTATGTTGCACTTCCTGCTGGGATTATTCGAGGTGCATTGTCTCGAATCGGTTTTCAAGGGACGGTAGTTCCTGAAATCACCACTTTACCTCAGTGTACGCAAACTTTCGAATATCATGGTGTATCATACTGTACTGACGATCGTTAATTAGGTACCTTCCAGATCAAACTACCAAAAAACACATAAATCCGTAACACTATATTAGCCTCAAATAACACGTCAATCCGTGGTAGCCCGAGTTGTGAAGTTGCTGCTGAATGCGAATCCCGTTGCTGAAAGCTCAGTCAAACGGTTGAAGGTGTTGGGATCACCAAGTGGTAAGATGGACAGCACGTAGGCAATGTGACTCGAAGGAAGGATCGGGTCTTGAGTCAGTTCTCGCGTTTCCGGCTACAAACTTCACTACACACTACTCTCTTTCTACCAGATGAATTTGTTTCACGAACGAGAACATCTGAAGTCGGTGATCCTCAGCCAAGTTTCTCCTTGCAATCGCAAATGTATCAGGATCAGTAAGATCCTCGTTGCGATTGCAGGTTTATCGGAACGGTGCACAAAGTAATGACATGGCCATCTTTCAAGTCAGAAAACGCCTCCGGTGATTTTCTTCTTGCTTGTGACTTTGAACATAACTTCATGATGCAGGATGGCGTAAGTAACATCACGTACGACGGCATACGTGGGGCTCGTTCCACATTTATGTGATTTGTGAAGATTTATCGAACTCGTTGAGGCAGAAGAAAAGGGCCGCATTTTGCCCAAGTGGAAGTAGATGCAGATAGAGATTTTGGGGATTTGGAGCAGCAGTGGATGTCAGCTTTAAAGCTTTGAAAATTGTTTGAGTGTGTATCTTACGTCGGCGCAGGCTCCGCAACTACTAGTAGCACATTCTATATTTGGCCATCTAGCCAGTAGTAGTACATCTCTTTCTGTCAGGACCCAGCATCTTTTTATCTTATACTGGCGAAGAAAGATGGCCTCTGTAGAGATTGCAGAAGAAATACGCTCCATCTTCCCTGGTACGGAAGAACTCATCGTGCAGTATCTTTCAGGTTATCTAGTTGATGACGCTGGTGAAGAGGAGGATGTTCTTCAGGTTGCCAATGACATTCTGGATTCATTGGGTATGAGTCATCCAGACGACGTCAAGAGGTTGATGGCGCGCCTCCGGGATCTCCTTGCTGAGCAGCTGAGTGCACGAGCGAGAAATAGCGGTCGACCAAAGCTGATGAAGCTTGACAAAGTTATGGACATGAGCAAGGTCGGTGCTATGTCGAATACCATTGGGCTTGGAGAAGGTGTAGACCTTGAGAGCATCAATAAGGGAAAGTGAGCCTATACCTTTTCATCGTTATACTTGCCTCGAACTCAGTGATGCTCCTCCACAGAGCATCCAGGGTAGATGTAAAAAAGCTTGAGAAACAGGAAGCCAAACTCAAGGTAAGCACAAACGGCTATCTGCGTCGTACGGCCATGATGTAACGGCGGCTTTTCAGGCCAAGATCGAGAAACGCGCTCGTCGTGACCTGTACGAAGGATCCAAACTTCTTGATCAGCACCGCAAGCAGGTCAGTTGACATATTTATATCTCTAAATCATTTTGATCATGGGTTTGGCAGCAAAATTATGAAGAGATGTTCATGAAGGTGATTCACTTGTGTTTGCTTCTTTCAATTTGATCATTCAACGACTTATTTCAGATCAACCCCTTGGAAGCGGCAAATGCTGCCAAAAACAAGAGCAAAGATATACATCTACCCTCAATTGACGTCAATTTTGGTTCCAATCGTATACTGTGCGTTTCACTTTTGATTGCTGTTACTTGTTCTTAGGTATCTCCTTAGTTCAGGAGCAAGCCTTACATTGGCGTATGGTCGTCGGTATGGGCTCATAGGTCGCAATGGTACGCTTTATACTTGATCACCTATCGGCATGACTGTACGATTTCATCAGGTGTCGGAAAGTCCACCCTTTTGAAGCATATCGCTATGCGGGAAGTACCTATTCCCGCGCATATTACTATATTGTTCGTGGAGCAGGAGGTAAGTCACCGTGTTCTAATATGAGCCTGTGCACGAACTCGGTATAGATTGTTGGGGATGATACAACCGCTCTCGATTCCGTTCTTAAAGCAGACGTCTGGAGAGATCACCTGTTGAAGGAGGAAGGTTCTTTGAATGCTCGCCTGGCTACTCTGGAAAAGGAAGGTGACGACAAACGGTTCGAGGATGCTAGGGAGGAGGCTTCATCAAGACTGGCGGAAGTGCACGCTCGTTTAAGTGATATGGATGCAGAGAGTGGTCCTTCGAGGGCAGCCACTCTTCTCGCAGGTATGTTGATGTTTTTATGTCAAATAATAGGTTATGATACGAAGTCTTCAGGGCTGGGTTTCAGCGAGGCAGACCAATCTAAGCCTACAAGAACATTTAGTGGAGGTTGGAGGTAAGTCAAATCAATTGGTCATGGCAATGTCTGATATCTCGGGCTCAGAATGCGACTCGCACTAGCACGTGCACTGTTTGTGAAGGTGCGTTGTTCAAGTCCTGATTGTTTAATACCGAGGTCTGAAGCACCTACAATTGGATGTAGCCTGCTCTTCTTTTGCTCGATGAGCCTTCAAATCACATCGATCTAAATGCACTAGCTTGGTTAGAAGATTACCTTCAAACATGGCCCGGGACGTTGCTTGTTGTGTCAGTTGAGCGGGTGTACGAGTTGATATTATTTTTCTCACGCTTTCGACAGATCTCACGATCGTGCGTTCTTGTGAGTGTGCAGCAATCTTCGTTGGTTACGCCTAAAATACGATTGTCTGCAGAGATGCTGTTGCGACTGATATCGTGCACCAGCATTCTGGTAGACTAGACTATTATAAGGGGTTCGTCTCATTCATTCGTAGACGGGCGTAATTTCTAACAACAGTCAATTCGCAGGAATTTCACCCAGTTCTACTCAACGAAATCTGAACGGGACCGCAATATGCGAAAAGAATACGAAACACAAATGGATTACCGGAAGCACCTACAGGCTTTCATTGACAAGTGGAGATATAATGCAGCCAGAGGTAGGAATATGAACTCGGCAGTTGCTATGATTTTCCAACACGTTTTTGTATAGCTTCGCAGGCACAGATGAGAATTAAAATGTTGGAAAAGGTGGGCGTGTTGCACGACTTCGTTGTAATCCTTGACCGACCGTTTTGTAGCTCCCTGACTTAGAGCCTCCAGAGGAAGAAGAGGGTGAAACTTTCAAGTGCGGCAAATCGTTCTTGTTCCAAGTGCAGCAGAATGACATTCTGGCAATTAGATTCCCCGAAGCAGAGAAGATATCGCCACCATTGCTCCAATTGTCTGAGGTCACCTTTGGGTATACACCTGAAAACCTTCTCCTCCAAGGAATCAACATCGATGTAGGGTTGGATTCGCGAATAGCTATTGTTGGCGCGAACGGAGCTGGAAAATCAACCCTGTAAGTGGTCCTATGTCCCTCGAAAAGCTCCAATACAACTAAAAATTGGTCGGGATACGTAGTATCAAACTTCTAACTGCGGAGCTTAGACCCTTGAGTGGCGACTTGAATCGGAATGGTCGTTTGCGGATGTGAGTTGTCACTGCGTTTGATTCATCACCTGCTTACTTGTTTTGTAGAGGATATTTTTCACAACATCATGTTGATACACTCGATCCTGCGATGTCTCCTGTACAGTTTTTAGCCTCTAGGTTCCCAGGAAAGACAGAACAAGAATATCGAGGCCACCTAGGCAATTTCCAGATCAGTGGAATGACGGGGTGCGCAAACTTCTTATGATCTACTTGCAGTTTGTTTCAAGGACGACAGGCTCCAGCTGATTGGCACACTTTCTGGAGGTCAGAAGTCTCGTGTCGCGTTCGCTGCCTTATCATTGCAAAATCCTCATATATTATTGTTGGATGAGGCGAGTACAAAAGGTTACGGTTTATTGTTGCCGCTGATACCTACCAGCCTACTAACCACTTAGATATCGAGGTACAGCGCATATACATATTTCTCCACTTCTACTGACAGTTCAATGAAGGGTCTGGATGCGCTGATGGCGGCGTTGAGCACTTGGAATGGCGGAGTGATTGTTATCTCTCACGACGAGCGATTCATCACTACAGTTGCAAAGGAGGTAAGCACATGCAAATTGATGTATCTTGGCCGCTGTCTAAGTTTGTCTAGCTATGGGTGTGCGCTGATCATGTAGTCACCAAGTTCAAGGGTGATGTACAAGCATATAAGGTTTGCACAGCATTATATAGGCCAAGATCATACATTGATATTCCGGTCACAGAGCATCATTGTGAGCAACATCAAAGCTCGGCCATGATGGTAGATTGTGTATGTAGTATGGTGATCCTGATCAGTCATCACTTCACGTCGCTCAATCTATTCCAAATATTCGAGAAATGAGACGAATCGAAGTCATTGAATGTCAGTTCAGAGTCGTTGCCATTTCACTCGGCTTTTATACGAATCAGACAACTATTCCTTATGTAAAGTTTCAAAATTTGTGGGGTTATTTTATCTTCACTTCCCCCAACCCAAGAGTCTTTGCTTGTGTCAAAAAATGAGCTTGTGGTTCCGTGGTGGTCACGTGCTGACGCGTTTGGCGGAAACCGTGACGCGACCGCGTTTTGTTCCTATTATTGTTAGCTTTATCCAACATCAACGATTGCGACCGGGCGACTCATTTTCTACAATGAGCTCTTCAGAAGGGGAGAGTTTTGACCTCGGCAACGTCTCAGATACAGAGAGCGAAGACTACGCTCCTCCCATCAAGAAGACAGTGAGTTGTACTTGATGAATTGTAAAGGGTGCAACTCAGTGCCACTTTGCAGACGAAAGCACCAGCAAAGAAGGCCATCGCGACGAAACCCACATCAAAACCTCCTGCAAAACCCAAGGCTGCACCTAAGAAGAAGGTACTGGTGGATAAGGACGACAATGCTGACCGCAGCGCAATAGAGGTCGATGAAGTCGTTGATTCAGGCAATGAGAGTGCAGAGTCATTCAAACCCAAGGCACCAGCCCCGCCAAAGAAGAGCAAGACAGCATCAGAAACTTACACCAAAGTACGCATGTTGGAACGTTAGCGATCCATTGCTAACAACAAGAAACCTGGCAGTTATCTCAGCTAGAGCATATTCTAAAACGCCCTGATTCCTATATTGGAAGTGTCGAGACAATTACAGTGCCAATGTGGACGTATGACTCGGAGAACAAGCGCATGGTTCATAGAGAGGTCAAATATGTCCCGGGCTTCTTCAAAATTGTGGACGAAATTCTTGTCAATGCTGCAGATAACAAGGTGTGGTTTGCAACTCCAGTGTCTTACTTGCGTTGCTAACTAACTGCCATAGATC